GGGGGGCAGAAGCAAAAGCATGAGAGAGACACCGAGCGGGACAAGAGTGTGACCGAAAAGATCGAGTGAATGAGACTAAGTGTAAAAGAGAGAGATGTGACACAGCAGAGGCAGACAAAAAGTGTGTGTGTGTGTGTTTATGTGTTTGTGTTTCTGAGGGAGAAAGAGTGTATCGAGTAGGGGGAGGGGAAGGCACAGGGACCTCGGGGAAGCTGCTGAAAGGTTCCCGGGACAATAGAGCTCCGTTCACAGGGCAACAGCACTAGCTCTCCCATGCATCCTCCCCCTTCCACCTCCTCCTCCTCTTCAACGTTCTTTAAGGGCCCCTGTGCTCATGTGGTGAAATAGTAGCAAGCGAGCGCTCCTCCTTCATCTTCCTCTCACTCAGGGAGGAAGATAGGAGTGAGAAATGGAGAGTAAAGCCTGCTCACAGCTGCAGAGAAGAACACATCTCACTCCCACATCCAGTGTTTGCATCTTCTTAAATTATTACAAAACCCCATGCACAGTAAGTCAGTCACACAAATGGGTACAAACGCACCAGGTAGGCTCTCAAATGTCCCCATTAGCTGCATGTAAACAGTCCCATCAGCTGTAAAAATGCCTCTGATCCCTTGATCCGGCACACTTTCCTCCTGCTACATACCCACAACTGTACACTTACTACAGACGTGCGAACTCCATTAAGAGCTGAAAGGGAGAGTCATTACCAATTTATGAACCGAGTATAGCTTCTTGTGTTGGAGGCTGTTCTGAATAATGCAACTTGGATTACGTCAGGTCACACTGCCCTAAATATGAATAAATATATATATAAAAATATATATATATTCCTGTTTTAGTATTTCTCAGAGGCACTCATGGTGAAACATTGGTGGTGCCGTGCCTTGGATACAGTGAATCCTACTGGGTGAATAAAAGGCCAGAACATAAGGCTTTTTTTCATTTTTCATTCATTTATTGTTTAATATAATCTGATGACATCACACAGAGTTGTCTAAATTAATTTTGACATGTTACTGAAATATTAAAAGTTTTCCCAGCATATGAAACATGCTGGCACCCATCAAAGAAAAACCATCAGTACTGTGATTAAAAAATATATTTTGAAGCAGTATTATTTTATTTAAAGTGGGATTTCATTTACTCACATATGAAATACATTTCTCCTGTAATTAAATGACCAGACATAACAGGAAAACACAGATCCATGGCAAGAGAATCAACCCTCAGAGGCCCATTTAACCCTTGAGAGTGTTTGTTTTGTACATATTTTTTTTACTTAATAATTCACATGTGATTCTCAATACTTCAGCTTAACCACCCACGGGATCATTCTTACTTACTTCTTACTTCTTCTTACTTCTTACTTGAACGCAAGTCAGTATAATCCAAAGGGATAATAACCCAATGAGCAAAGAGGCTAACTTATTTGTCAATTAAACAATTTAGATTTTATCAGGAATATACGGAAATCTGTGAGGACTACTTCATTATGCGAGATTTAATGGCTTTTAGAGGCTGCGGGTTAGCACTTTATATTAACTAAGCATTTCTCACTTTGATTTCAGAGTATTTTATAGATCGGGTCACAGAAAACCAAACTGTCATCATGTCATTCATTATTTCATCTCTAACACTTTATTTGGATTACAGATTGAAAGAATCGCGTGGATGTCACGCTGGACTGGATTAAATGCGCTATTTTGATGATTTATGGATTAAAATCCACCCACACAAACACACACACACACTCCTTTTCTCCACAGACGGATAAGCGCACATTCACACACGCTCACACGCGCGCAGGCGTAAACTGATGGCAACCGCGATCAATCAGTGTTCCGCACCATCGCTTCCCGTTACCGATGGGCTGACCCACATCTGTTCATCTACCTCCGTCCCTGTGAGTTTTTGCACCGGTTCTAATGTGAAATTTAAATAGCTGTTTTTTTGTCCAGGCGCCTAATACACTGAACAAAACGCCGGTGTACCGCCAGCATCAATCATATGCTTAAAAAAACATTAAAGTTACCCTGTAATTGTTTTATAATATTCAGTGTTTGAGGCTTTAAGTCCGTTTATTATCCTCAAATCGGGGTCCGCTCCAACTGACCACTTAGCTAGCTCATGTCCAGTGGTCGACTTCTTAGTTTGGACTAATGAGACAAAAATAAGCAGAAATACCCGCACAGATTTCACCATTATGATAAAGGGTGTTATTATTCGCTGTAAAAAGTATCATAAGGCCCTCACCAGCACTTGAAATATTAGAAGAAATCAGCCCGTCCGCATGTCCCGTTAGATACTCCTATTAGCTCTGCCATCCTGTGTCCCCCAGCCCGTCTGGCCACTCCGGGGAAAATCCTTTGAGGACGGGGGCACGCCCACGGACCATATTCACCAATCAGATGTCCAAGAATAAGACTTAGCGTTTGATAGACGTTAAAGCCAACCAATGGCTTCTTTGATATATAATGAGTGACAGGGAGACTCCCCGCTAGATAGCCGTGTTGAGATGGAAGAGGGCGGGGCTAAGGTTGGGCGTTGCTAAACAGCTTAACGAGCATTTTTTCCTCCCTTTCACCTATCCGGGTCTGATACTTGTCAAAATTAGAGGTGCTGTAATTTATCTTCGACTCTCTCGGTGATGTGTAGACATGTAAATAACCTAAAATAACACCTAAAAACTAAAAAACTTTTTAAAAAATGTATTTAAAAAAACAACAACGAGATAAAGCATCCTTTTCGGGGTTAGTGAGATTCTCAGATTGATGCTGAGGATGGAGAGTATTGTATAACAGAACAAAATAGCTAGGCCAGCATCCTGCAGGAAGCGGTTCAGTGAGGACTGGCTATACTTAGATCAGTGGTTCAGTCTCTCAGGTATGTTTGTGGAGAAAAACAGCCATCAAAGCAAAAGAAAAACAAGGATGCAGAGAACTGTCTCTTTTCTGTAGACAGGATATGGTAAACTAAAAAGGGGAGTTTCAGTATATAAACTGCACTTCTATTCCTGGATAAAGCCTAAATTTATTAAGCAGCTGCTACTTTGTAATAAACACATAATTTAGACAAATATGTGACCAAATATGGGAATTTATGCTAGTTCATATGGACCTCTGAGGCAAAAGAACTCTTATTTAATTTGAATGTTTAGTAACTGTGTGAGGCTATCATATCAACATGGACCACACAAGAATTAAGATAGTTCTAAAGGTAAAAGTGAGTCCAACTCAGACAGACCTTAGTCACATGGCAAAGTGTAATTAATGAAATGTCCTAAGAGTGTATATTATCATTTAAATCAAGGGTGCAAAACATTAGGCCCAGGGCCAAGGGATTGTGGTCTGTAGAAGACTACACTCCAACCCACTTGATGTGATTTTACAAGTGTTAGAGCTTTCCCTACTGATTAAGACCACCGCCCATGGCCATCCATACCACACCAAAGTACGAGGGCATTTTCTGTGAATGAATGAAAACTCTATACTCTAAAATGATAATTACAGGAGCAACGATCTACTAGAACATTTTCTTGAACATTACATGTTTATCATGTTTCATTGGTGTCACACCCACTTCACATCAAAGCATCAAACAATTTAACATGAATTTAGCTGCACATCTGTGATTTAAATATCTGAATTTTTGGGGCCACAAAATTGCAGTTGGTTGACTTTTAATGGGTCCTATTTTCTTTTTATACATTTTGTACATTAATTAAAAAATTTAATAATCTGAGAATTTAACAATGAAAACAGTGGTTAGTTGACGGCCTTTCTAAACATGATTCAGCTAGATCTCTACTATAATAACCCATTATTGAGCAAGATTTCATATAGGCCTTATTAAATAAATAAAATTCAGGACTGATTTGATTTTCTCTCACTGTGGTAATGTCAAGTGCACATATTAACATCTGGGTGGTTAAGTTTTTTTTTTTTGTCCGTTTTCAAACAGCAGTACTTTGTGAATGCCTCGTGCTACCATGATGCATCAAATATCATCAGCAAAACTCGTCTTCTCTTCTTTCCCAAAGTGAATTTTGTCTCAAGAATTTTGTGAAGCTCACATTAGGGGCAGATGTCAGGTGTTCCCAGAAAGAGAATAAATAGGATGAAAGATGTTACTTAAAATTGCTTCACAAATAAGAGTGACAATGTTGATGTTTCCACTTTTATTGTCGGGATACTTGCTTCATGTAAAATATTTCAATACATTACAGTACAATGCATGTTCCGCCTGCCATCCTCCATGCGATTGGTTGGTTTTGTCATCATGTTGTAAGGCTTAACCACAGCACATGAGCAGTCAGCTATTGCAAGCTGCTTTGCCGCTCTCGCCATGAAAACAGAACCATGAAAACAGATTAAATTAGAAACTACTAAAATCTTTTTTTTTTTTTTGTCCTCTCTGAACAAAAACCCCTCAAAGCCACAGCTGCGAGTGGCTCCACATCCTCCCAGCATGTTTCACAGCAGCTCAGTAAAGTCCTCAGCTGAGGCCCTCGTAGGGCCGCTTGCACAAAATAAACAGACAGACAGGAGGACAGGAAATCTGTCAACGCTGGCAGTCACATAGCAGCTTTCAGTTTCGTCCGAGCTTCGACAGGAAAAGGGTAAACCGGCCGGGGTAGGCTGTAGGTAAAGGAGACAGGTTAAGAAGAAAGGGGGAGGATATGACGGAACAGATTAACATTTCCTTTAAACCACGCCATCTTCTCTTACATCCGAGATCCGAGTAACAGAAAAAGATTTGATTCAATCAAAATTTCCTTTTTTTTTTTTTTCTTTTTTATTATTATTATTATTATTTTTTTAAAACCTTCCTCCCACTTTGTGTCTCACCTATCACGTTTTCTCTATAACTGTGTTTCTAATACTGCGGTGTGTTATCTTTATCTGGAACAAAGTGAAGACCATTTCTTTCAGGCCTAACGCACTGCTGTAGAGATGGTGCCCTCTGTGAGGTGAAGTGGGGTGAGGCAGGGTGGGTTTTGTTGCCTTGGACGCCCCCCACATCCCTCGGTACATTCGTTCAGGTGGGCGTGGTGAGGGCTGTGTGTGTACATGTGTCTATTAACGTGTGTATGTGTGTGTGGGAGGGATGTTTCAGTAGCGGTGGGTCTGGTGGGAGTACTGGGGCGGCTGTTGGGAGGTAGAGGAATATCCCATGCTGCTCTGGGGCAGTGATGTGCTTGGTCCAGGGTTCTGGTAGGCAGCATGTGGATTGGAGCGCTACAGGAAGAAAACAACAAAGAAAGCAGTGACATATTCACAAAATCTTCTTTGTGTAATGGTTTAATTTGCATTTAAACTCAATGAACAACATATTCCAGTAAAATGATCACACTTTTAGTGTGGTGACATCTTAAATTCTGCATGCAAGAACAGTTGGATACATGGAAACTTCACTGTCATGTTAAGTAAAGTCACTTTTATTATGCAAAAACACCATCACTCCATGTTTCCAGTCAGATTAGATGGATTTGTGTCTGAGCATGTGTGTCACATCTGAAACACGATGATCCAACATTCACATCCGCCTCACGTTGCAGATCAAAAATGGTACTTGTTGCCATTTCTGGTTATGTGTGCAGCTAAAAAGCCATTTCCCCATCATCCAGAAAGTAAAATAATACACATGTCAAGCATGAGAGGGTATTTAACATGTTCAGTTCTGCCACTGCGAAGAATATTAAAAGTATAAATCTTATAGTATATTATATTACATAGTATATTACCAATACTTACATCTCATGTAACATTCTTTTCAGAGTGGTTGCTACAATATTTTTGACCCTAGCCCTCAACATCTTATGCTGTCGAGAGATTTCTAAACTTGTCTAGCCTGTGAATGGAGCGTTTTGTCTACAAAACAAAGCTATGCTATTTCACTGTATATGTATTCTATTAAAGTCGCTCGCTGATTTAATAAACAACAACATAGATGACAATCCAGAAACAGTGACAGTGAATATATGAGAAAGACGGATTTACCTGGTAGTCTGAGGTCATAATGAGGCCACCTGAGGTAGTGGTGGGCGGGACAACTCGCACTTTCTTTAGAGGCGGGCCCTGGGCGTGGCTGTTGTCTGGGTTGCCTGTGTGCCCCGCCCCATTTGTGTGGTTATTTCCCTGTTGCTGCTGCTGGTTTTTCTAAAGGGCACAAAAATATCACTTAAATTACACCCTGGACTGTATGAAGTTTCACTACATGTTACTCAGCTTTATTGTAAATTTTCTATATTTCTCATTTTACTTTTCTATATTACACCCATCTATATGCCAATCAATTAATGTTTAATGACTTTAGTAATACAGCATGTGGCGTATGGATATGTAATATTTACTTTGTCTGCCTTGTCCTCTGGCTCCTCCTCTGTCAGAAACTCCCTCTTGGGGTAGGGAATCTGGCAACCTGCAAACACACTAGAGAAAAAAAAAGGCAAAGAGGCTTGTCATCTTCAAACATTAATTCCCATGACTCTGACCTAATTAGCTAAGAGACCCGCTCAAGGCACCCGTAGATCATGTGACTTAAGCTGAGGACGAACACAAGACAAAGAAACTATCTTGTGAGTTGAACGTAGTCTGTGTGTGTTGTGTTGCTTCATTCATCCTGGCCGCTGTTTACATCCCGCCAGATGCGGATGCGCAGGCAACTCAGTGTTCACTCGCGGAGCAGATACTGCACATGGAGCGGACATTCCCGGACTCTCTCATTATTGCTCTTGGGAACTTTAACAAAGCCAATCTGAGCCATGAGCTTCCCAAATACAAGCAGTATATTAAATGCCCGACCAGAGAGGAGAGGACATTAGACCACTGTTACAGCACGATCAGCGGGGCCTATCGTGCGGTGCCCCGCGCTTCACTCGGACTTTCTGACCACGTCACGATCCACCTAATCCCCGCATACAGACAGAGGCTGAAGCTCTCCAAACCTGTCGTGAGGACCAAAAAACTGTGGAGCAACGAGGCTGTGGAGGAGCTTCGCACGTGTTTGGAGTCTACAGACTGGGACACAATGAAGGCTGCTTCTAACAGCTTGGACGAGTTTACGGACACTGTCACCTCCTATATCCACTTCTGTGAGGACAGCATTGTGCCATCACGCACCAGGGTGAGTTATAACAATGACAAACCCTGGTTTACTCCTAAACTCAAAAAGCTGTGGCTGGAAAAGAGAAAGGCGTTCAGAAGCGGAGACAGGGACTGCTACAGAGAGGCCAAGTACAGGTTCACTAAAGAAGTGGACATTGCTAAACATCAGCACTCTGAGAAGATGCAGCAGCAGATCTCAGAGAATGACTCGGCCTCTGTGTGGAAAGGTTTTAGGAATATCACCAACTACAAGCCTAAAACCCCCCACTCCACTGA